GAAAACGTGTGGTGTAGCAGTCCAAAAGCTATAGTGCTTTGGAGGCTAGCAATTCCACGAGCTTCTGTAACGGAGTTCACATGCAGCAGCTGTACAGTCCTCAAGATTTTTAGCAAAACAGCTCTGCGGGTTCACCAATTACTCCGGCAAAAGCTTTTGTCGCTTTTCTAAAAAATAGGAGGGATGAGGCTGCCCAAGAAGTATCTCAGTTTCTCAACACTCTCAACTCAAATCACCGTGTATGCATCCAATTCCACAACGCACAGTGAAATTTCGACCTTACAACTCACAGCATTCTGTGGCGCGCAATTCTGGCCACACCGCCCCTCAAACGAAGCAGCATCAAACTCAGGTGACCGCATCGAAACTCCGCAAACGCTAGCCAGCACACCGGTTACGGGCTCTCTGCAGCCAGCTGACCCGGATCAGCCGACTTCCCTCAACGCCACTCGAAATTGAACCAGGAAAAATCAGAGTTCAATTTAGTTGCAACTGAGCTTCTGGTGCATATGCCACCGACAGGCATCCGCTTCAGTTCGTTGAATGAGTGCTCGCGCTCCGCTGACGCAGCACGTTACGGGAACAAGCAGATAGAAGTGCGCTTACCTGGCGGCCGGCTCCTGTGCCTGCAAATCCTCGTCGATGCGACGCACCACACGCTTCCGATAACCGTGCTGCGACGGAGCGCTCACCTTGCGCGAATCCGCCGCTGCCCCGTCTTCCCCTCGCTTCATTGCCGACTGGTAAAACACGCAGGACTAGTAGTGAGCGGGCACCCACGCAAAGAACGTGAATTCTAAGGAAGCCGCCTGCTCGTAGCCTCTCACGTATCCCGCACAGCACCGTTCAGTCCATACACACTCCCTGAAATGAAACGCACCGAGCTTGTCCAACAAGCGCTCCACGCCCCATCTGCCCCCACGCGCCAAGGCTGACCAGCGCGCAGCGCGCCCCCCGGACGCATGTAAGCCGCGCACCTCCCTTATCCCTCTCTCCCCGACAATGCTT